AGAGCAAGTGGCGAGAGGCACGCTCACCGATGTGTTCCCCACACGGGCCTTCGTAGGCTGCGTGTGACCTGGACAATGTGGCCGGCACGTTTGCTCCTGGATCCTCGGCTCTCGGACAAGGATTCGAGAGCTATAGTAGCTATAGGTCCCGGACGGAAGCCCCGGTGTTCTATTCTGCGCTAGGACACTGTCATCTTCCGCTGCTTGTGGCATGCTTTCTTGGCTGTGATCGGGCTGCTAATGCTCGTGGCATCGCTGGCACGACTTTGAAAGACTGAGTCGTGCAGTTGTCCGTTGTGTTGCGCTCGCTTGGCAGTGCAGGTGTTCTACTGCCTCTCTTGCCAGGTGCTGAAGGCAGGAATTCTGTGGCCCAAGTAAAGGCTCCACATGGCTCCGTTGGAGGATTTCGGAGACGTCTGGAGCGGGCAGCTGCCGGATTTGGCTGGGATTCTCGTCGAGCGCTTCCCTTGGAGTCTTTGCATGAGAGGCAGATTGACGGAGTTGTACTGTCTCGCGGTCTAGCTGAGGTTGGGGCACTTTGGAATTGCCGCGTATCTATGCCTCATGCTCTTCCGCCACTCCCTGGTGAATGAAGCCCGGAGGTGAAGCTGTAGCCGCATGTAGCCCGGCAGCCACTGGTCGGAAGAGCTGCAGAAGCAAGAAGCCAAAAGCTGGCTCGACTATGTGAGAAAGCCCAGGCCAGCAGCAGGAGGCTGGTTCCTATCGTATAGTCTTAAACAGCTTCACTAGCGACAGTGTGCATGAAGGATGGGGATGCTGCGTCGGCTGCTTGTTGTGGGAGGGCGTCAGCCGGGACAGTTGTAGTGCACATCGGACACGACATCGTGGCATGTCCCGGCACCGCTTCCAAGCACTGCTTCGAGCTTCGCTGCCCTCGTGGCTCTTGCCCATAGAAAACGTATGTCTCATGAGAAGATGGTAGAATGAGAGTCGAAGCTGCAGATCCAAAATCAGTTGGAGCACACTTTCCAGTATGATTGAGAGGACCGGAGACAGTGTGGAACCAGCTCTTCTTCTTGCATTGCCTGTATGTTACTGATGAGAAAGTGGCATAAAAGAAAGGGGGGTTTATGGTTCTATGTATCTGCCTATCTGTTTTCCTGTTTACCCATCTATCTACCTACTGATCTTTCCAGCTTCTACATGTCTATGTGTCCATCTAATTAAGATCCGGGCCCAAAGCGTGCCCGCTGAAATGGCTGCATGGCAGCCGCGGTTGTGATGCCAGAAGTCCCTGTCCCAGATAGCCAGTAGAAGCGGCATGCGTCACACAACCTGTCCGTGTGGAATCAGGTACAGGCTGCGACAGCAGGTTCGGGGTCCAAGGTCGTGTCCAGTCCCGCCGTGAGAAAAGCTCGCGCAGCTGGCAGGATCCACCCCAGGAACTGTCCGGGTCGCGAGCCGCGGTTCGCAGCCCGAGTTCAGTGCCCCGGAATTGAAGTGAAAGGGCAGGGGAGGGGGTTTGAGGCGGTGGCCTGGCGGACCTCGTTGCAGATGCGGAGATGGAGAAGGCCATGGGACTCAGAGTATCTCAGCCGAGTTGTTTCCCCGTGGCCCATGTGCTCCTGCATCTCAAGTACAGGCTTATTGTAGCTGTTGTTTCTTGGATGTTTTCTTCTCTTAGATGTAAGTTTTTCCTTTCTACCCAACGTACCTCACGTAGATTACCTGCCCCGCCTACCCCACCTAGAGGTACCAGTGATGATGCAGTTGCTTCGGCAATCTCTGTACAGAGACGGCAGGCTGTACCCTAGACCTTGGGAACCTGGACCCTGACCCTGAACAAGCGGCCATATAGCTTTTATGTTAAATTGCCACACCAAAGGTAGGGCCAGGTAGGGGCACTTCCAAAGTTTGTATTGTAGTTGCGGGTAGACAGCCTTGGGAAGTGAATACCCAATGCGAAAACTCGAAGGAGTGGATTCAGCAGGAACCTATCCCGAAGACGAATACCCTAGCGAGTGAATTCAGCAGGAACCCTTGACCGACGACGAAACCCTGAGGAGCGAATCCAGCAGGAACATTTTCCCGAAGACGAACACCTTAAGGAGTGGATCCAGCAGGAACTTCTAACCCAAGACCAAAACCCTACAGGAACCTTTTCCCGGAATCGAAGGCCTGAGCGCCAAGGTGGGTTTTCAGTGAAGTCAAAGCTCGAGACGACACAGCTCGGCAGATCAGTTGAACGATCGCCGTTTGATGCACGGTCGTCTTCGACTTGAGAGCATACTTTTTGCGGTTCAAGAGTGCAGTCGGACTTCTCTGGAGTCGCAATCTCCGCTGCACGCGTCCCGCTTCGTGCT